TCGAGGTAAGTGTGATCACGGTGCTAATCAGTCACATATTCTGAAACCCCAGACTGTTTACTATAAGTTGATGGAATCGCTGGGTGTCAATGATGAAGAATAAATTAGATAAGAAACATTTCTTAACCACAGGTAGCGCTAAAAACCGGCTTTTTGGACCTTGTGCGCCCAATATCTCAGGATCCCATTGGTATAAAGTCATCCTTTTTCCCATGGTAGTGGGAACAAATTAGGGAAACAAAATAATAATAAAATAATGAAGATCGGTCGATAGGGCCCGGAGAGATTTTTTATTCACATTCTGGATTCAAACGGTACAATAAAATTGCAATTGGCTCATATACGGCCACGAATACTGTAAAAAGGGAAAAGAATGAAAAATTTGACATCGGACGAGAACAGGAAAAATGATCTCGTAAGAAAACGACACCTACGCCGCTAAAATACGGAACGAATGGAATAATCTTAATATTCTTGGCGTGAATGAATAATCGTTAGTGTGAAAAAATCAATATAAAAATGACTTTTATTCAAACGACACTAGGAGGACAAAGAATGGAAATGATAAGTGTGCATCACAGAACATAGACGGAGGTGTTTTCTATGATATAAGCACAAAGACTGCATTTTAAAGAGAATTTTCACGTAGATGCTCTAAACTATCCACCCTTTTTTGCGGTAGTTCATAGTTTGAATTTACCATCCTATGACAGAAAATATTATCACTGATATTATCGCCAACGCTTGGCTATGGAATTGTTCTTCAGTAATGTTACGATCTCAACATCATCTTTTTTCTCCAGTTCAAAAACGGGTATTTATGCTTGCTAACACAGTGACAGAAACCTTAAACAAATGAATGTAAGTGTGATTATTCTATAAGAAAGGCACGTACTATTTAATATAAGCAACCGTCATGGTTAGCCTTACATGTCTCTAACTACAGAAATTCAATCCTCTCTATGCTATACGTTTAGTTGTTCACCGTTTTTTTCTCTTCAAGGTGTTTTAATAGCTAAGAAGCAGATATGCTTAACAGAACTTAACGTTAACATTTACGTTATTACGGTGATTACGTAAACCACGGTTAATAATTATCAGTTCATCGAAAAAACTGAAGGCATGTAATCAGGTGTCCTCTCTAAATTGACATAGTTTGAGGGCACATATAGGGAGAGGTGGACCCTCCCTTAATATGGCGAAAAGGAGAAATGGGTCATTCGCAAACCAATGCGTTTTCCTAACTTTCCTTGTTTTGAATAAATCCAACCAAGACCAATATCATACTAGTGTTTCATCGATGGAAACTGCTGCTTTAATCAAGCATAATAAACCTCGGATTTTCTTCTATCCTTAAGTAAGTCACCCAATCTAACGAGTTTTGCGTCAGTCAAAATTGCATTTTTTAGCACCTGATAATCCCTGGTAACTCTTATTCGTTGATCATCTTCATTGACTAATCAAATTGATAATACAAATTTTTTGTTCATTATTAAAATCTTTCTTCTCAATTCGAAAAAATGAATCACCATAAATAATAACTCGTTTCCGCCTGTTCCAAAGGACTAAATTTGAAAATATTAGCAAATGGTTTGTATTCCAGTGGCGTGTCATGTTCAATTTTAACATCTATTTCGAACAATACACTGTAAACGTTAGGATTAGTGTCTGATGTTATTCCAGAGAACATCAATGCAAGCTCTCGATTAAGACCTGTAGATGAAATGCTAATACGGATGTTCTCTTTCCAAGCTCTACAAATCTCTGATTTGGCTTTTCAAAATGTTACCGATAAACAGTTATTTATACTCGGTTTTAGGTAAACGGAATTTCCACTATGGATTTCTCTACGGAGCTGCCATGGATGTTAGTTTAGTTTAAGCTTTTTATTTAAAGAAATCAAAAGAAACAAGAAAAGAAGACCAAACAAGTGAAATCGTTTTCCTAAGGACTACATTGTATCTCCTGAGAGGAATCTTTTAACAGAACAAAAAAGAACATCATCATGAAATAAAAATGAACAAAACGAAAGGAAAAACATTGGACTTGGAGAAGGAAGAAGAGAGCCATGGATGTTTTTTGAATAACTCAAGGACGAAAAGAAACAGAGAGTTCGGGTTTCCAGCATTTTGAGGAGAGGGCTTTACTTTATCAACACATATATTGCACGAAGAATCTCGGTTTTTCAGGTGCTGTACCTGCTTGATGAAAAGTGATGGGGTTGCCGGATCCTGAACCTACGGTGAATTTTTAATTGTAACATAGTGGCTAGATAGTCCATAGTCGTCTCTACATTCTGCGCAAGGCCGACCTCTTTATCTATTGTGGTTCTCGAATGGCAGCCATTTTGCTGAATCACTCGTAATTCATTATCATTTCATTGGGTAAATGCTTGCGATGCGAGAACCACAACAGATGGAGAGGTCGGCGTTGCGCAAACCTTGTCACGGATTCTCACTACGGAAAGCATATCTCATAAAAACTATTGCAACAAAAGTTTTTCCCTATGAAATTCTACGTGAAATACGCGGAACAGGTTTTTTGCTAATGGCAAAAACTTCAAAAAATTATTAATTAAAAAATGCTAAAATTAAAAATGTTTTAATTTTCATTTAACTTCTGTTCAAAATTTTTTCTTGAAATTCGATTCCGCCTATTCCATGTAGTATAACACCAGCTACAACTTCGCCAGCAAAAGTTTTTCTTGGAAATTCTTTGTTATCGTGCAATCGCTGGGAAGGTTTTCAGAAATTACTTTTTATGCTTAAAGAGGAGCGCCTCCCCCCGTTCCCCCCTTTTTAAGCCATTACTTATTATTTTGCGTACTTTACTCAATAAACTGTTGTTTCGACTGCGTAAATATTACTGAATTATGTGTTTTGTAGACACAGCACCGTATCTCTGAGCCTTGCTATAGTCTTCACATGAACACGGTTGTAAGAGGGCGGATCATCGCTATATCAAGGCAAACCCATCTGTACTCATTTACAGCTTGTCTTGCGTCATCAATAGAGGAGATCAGAGGACGTAGATCTATACTAAACAGAGAATTCTCGATCGGATCTCGACAGATTTTTTTGAGAGATCTCTGAAAAACCATCTCACCGATCAGAGCAGCTTCAGTAGATTTTCGATCTATAGCGCTTTCTAACTTCTAACCTCTAAATCGCATGAAAATATAGGTTTTCGATCATCTTTTTTCTTCTATTTTTGTTGCGATCTCTTTCGACTCGAGCCAATATCGCTAGAGAAAGATAGGGAAAAGAGAGTTTTTTTAATATATGTAGTCTTTGAGGATGTTCTATATTTCTTAATAATGTGATATCCGAGTAATGTTTTCAATGATTCTTATTATAAGAGATTAAACTGTTGATTATAGTCGGCCCACATTGTTTGTATTATCGATGTTAAATTGGTTGCTGAGGGACCACTGTATGCGTAAACTAAGTTACGAATGTGATCTAAATAAATAGTTTATGCCGAGCACTCCGAATAAAAAAAAGACAAAAAAAGAATATCTCAAAAGACATCTTAACTTACCTGAATCAATGAATTTTTTTATTTGCTGAAGTACTGAGTTCGATAATGGAATGATATCGCAAACTTCAGCAACAATTTTTAATGTGAAACGTTGATGATCTTGTTCTTTATTTGCTAATTTTGCTTCTGGCAAACCTACAGCATGAAGAGCCAGCAAAATATAAAAACTTTTAGAGACAATATTGCTCTGGATGTCACAGTGTTGTTTGAACATTTCCATTACTGTAAGAGTGTGTCCATTTTGACCTGCTTGTTCATACAAATACTGTAACACTGGATGTTCCTTCAGTATGTCGAGAATATAGGCTGGATCCATAGCAGTAATATTATCTAGGTAATCTTCTAGCAACTGACGCACATGTGGTAATGTGAATTTGGGATGTTTGTGGTTCGTCGCTATCAGCCATATATGTCCATTATGGGCATAAAAAATGGCATAATTGATACTTTTTATATCAATAGATACTGTCATTGTTTCTGGAACTAATATGGCTACTTCGCTCTTAACATTATCAGCATCGTTTTTATTAAAATACTTTAGAATTATCTTGCCATCTTTTTTTTCTTGCTGAATTGATATTTTTAATGATTTAGGATTTTCAACAATCAAAAATTTTGGGTTTCGGCCATGATACATCCTTTCATCTACTTTAATTTTGTCTTTAAAAGGATTATTATCTTCTAACATATATGAGAGACACTCAACAGCAGCAACATTTTGACATATGACTTCGATATCGTCGATTACATTCAACGGTAACTGTGACTTAATCAAAAATTCTTGTTGAGAACTAGCAAATTGTCTATCGCTAAGTTCCTCACAATAGACGCTGTTGAAGTCAAACTGATTAATTATGCCTAACGTATTGCCGTATTTCATTGATTTTCTCGCCATATTACCTAGACTAATCTTCCATTCAATGTCAGCTTGTTTAAAAATGCTTTTTAATGGAATTTTGATAAAGATCGGAATTGGACAGATTGGAGCGTTTCCAAACCGCTCAGTTCCATTCGTGTTGCCCAGATTTTCGTTTGTGTATTGTGTAGGGGTTAGCGGACGAAAATAAAATCGAACATAGCTTTTCACTTCAGTATTAGTTATGCTTACCACTTTTTGCGCAGCCGAATCTTTGAAGTTCATCAGATTATTTCAACATTTTAATAATCCTTCATTAAAGATCGACGCGGCGTTTTCGACATGTGTGTAATGATAAATATATCCTTTCCACGGAGAGTTTTGCATGTTCAAGCCTTCCATAAAACGCTCATGTGGTTCATCAGACTTATTCATTTTTGAGAATAATTTAGAAGTTTCTACCATAGCCAATCCATGAATTTCTTTATAATTTATTTTTGAACTAAATCTTTTTGAAACACCGAAAGCCAAATGTTGAAAAACTTTTTCTTCTATTTCGTCTAAAAAAATCTTTTATTATTAGGTCATTACTAGATGTTACTCTCTTTCAACAGTACAACAGCTTACCAAAACTCGAGTTATTGTTGTCATCGTTTTGATTACCCAATGGTATGTTTAATTCAATAAATCGAGCTTCGATTGCTGTCGGCGCCTCAGACAACAAAAAATTCATTTCTTCCTCAACTCCTTTCAATGAAAGAAGCTCGCATAACTTCGTTGACAGCGTTAATTCATTTAATTGAGAATTCCATGGTCGCATTACGTACAGTTGATCTGTTGTTAGATGAACATTAGTAAGTTTGATGACTACTTCATTGTACATCAATTCCAGACGATCTGCTTCGAATAGTTTCAGACTGGATATTATTCTCTCTAGCTGACTCTTTATAATTTTTGCACAGTTTTTATTTCTGGAAAACCATATTTTCATAAATTCTACACTATCGAGCAATTTTCGCCTGAAACCAACCGCTTCTTGGGCGTTTATTGGTCGCAAAATTAAATCTTGTAGGCGAATCTGATTAATACTGAAAAAATCTAAAAATTGTTTCAGATTAGGTTTTGTTTTGTTATCATGATCGAGTTTCAGCATAAGAAATGTGTTTTTCTCCAGCACGATGTTAGTCTCATCCATATTAAAATGAAGTTGCTTTGCCGGTACAAATGCTTTATTTTCATCCAGTAAACGTAATGGTTTACATTTTTGTTGATGTCCTGGTGTCTTTGGCAATAATATTAACAGATGACTATAGATTGCTTGAACACGATTCTCATTTTCTTGATCAATCTTATCAGTTTCTGATGATATTAAGTCGAGTAATTGTAAACATTCTCGCACATTAAACTGAGTTTTAAAACCAAGAAATGAGCACCATTCTGGTCTGGTATCAATCGTGCAAACTGGCATGTATTTTCCGGCTAGTTTTATCAACTGTGGAAGCTTAGCAAAAGTATCTATTGATCGTTTACATAATTCAAGGTTTGTCGGTATACATTCCATATTTTTCGCATACCATTGGAGATAATTTATATATGAGCTATTCGTATTAATAGGAATGTGCCAATACATCTCAAACGCTTTTATTTGTTGGTTCAGTTGTTCAACGGAATAGGTCTCAATTAAGTGTCGCCAAAAGTATTGAGAAAATTGGTAGTTGAATGTCTGTTCTAGAAAAGTGATAGTCATGAAAACAGAACGATTGTTCATTTGATTTTGGTTAAATTGTTGACATGCCATTGTTTGGTCTCGGATGACTGTTGGAGTTATCTCTTCCTTGACACCTATACACAAGAAAAAGTATTTCCATTTCTGTATGCTAGGTAAGTCTCTTGCTTTTAAATAATTTTCGGATAGAAAAATGTCCATGTATTGTAATCTATGCTCTAAGCACATACGCGGTCCATACACATCAGAGAAATAACAATCTTCAGCTGAAATCAGATTTCCCTTAGATGTGACCAATTTCAATTTGTTTAGTCTCTTTAGCTCTTCGAAAGCAATCTGCTGATGATGGACTAATAAAAAAAGACGATCGATTGTTGCAAATGAATTTTCAATCGTTGTTATATAGTTTAATGAGTTTGGAATAATTTTCTTATGGAAATAATTTAGATCTGCTTTTTCAGTAACACCCAGGTGGGTTAACCACGCTTTGATTTTAGGACAAGAGTGAAGCCACGTTACAATATCTGGATGAATGAAAGATTGTTCAATTTGAGAGCAATACCAACTTTTGTCGTAAAGCAGAGGAAAATGAATAAATTTTACTGTTTGCAACTTTTGCGTCTGATCCATAATAAACGGAATTTCGATAATTGTTTTGGTTAAAACTGTGTCACTTGATCTGTTATAGAAATAAGTGATCAATTTTTGACCCTCGTCTAATGATAGTCGACAAAGATTACCCCTTTTAAATAACTGAATACAATTGTTCCAGTCAAACTTTTTAATGCCCAATTTCTGAAGTTCGTCGTTATGTTCGATAAATGGGTATTGAGCTAGAACACCGCGAAAAGTTTCAAGAATAAACAATCGAATTCGATCACTACCAACAAACGGTTCTTTTGATAATGATGTCAGATCAATAATCGCCTCATCAACAGACAAAAATAATGGAGATCGTTGATTATTCATGATAAATTTTATCTGTTTCATACCTTGTTCGCAACTTTCATTATATCTTTTCACTAATGTATCATTCAGAGTTAGTTTATTAGGTACTAGTTTATATGCATGCTGTTGCCATTTTTCAAGCGCTAAGTCACTTATCCATTTGAATATTTCTTTCGGTATTTGTTTGAATAACCATTGATTCCAAGTCGAATCTGTATGAAGTTGTTCTCTATTAACAGTAGTAAGAAAATTAGCATTAACAAGTAATGGAAACTTATATTGAGAAATTGTTGTTGGTATGTAACAAAACAGAACACTTTCGTTTTCGTCTAATTTTTGTATTTTATTTGTGCCTTCATACTTTGCAGCAAAAGATATTTCAGTTTTTCGGACCAATTTCAGCTTCTCTGGTATATTTAAGTCGTTTGATAACGCTTGACAAATTTCGTCAGGTATATCTAACACTAGTTGTTTCATTATCCATTGTGAAGGAATACCACCAGTAAACTGTAGTTTTTTCGTTCCATCAGTATTTGTTTCTAAACGTAAAATGACTCTAGACGTCTTTGAATAAAAGTGAGTTTCAGTTATATTTCTGAGAAATAAAAGCATATGTGAGTGTTTCTGTAATTGCTTTAGTCCTTGTTCCGCATCTTCTACTTTATTAAGAAGTATGATATAAGCCACCTTGCATGGATTATTTCTGATGAAATCTTTAACCATTGTCGGTACATCATTGATTTCTGTCCATAATGGAACTATTTGCCAAGGAAAAATAAATTTTCGATTATTTTCTATTTCCCATGTGTTTTGCGTTTCTGACCAGTTTGCATTCCAATGAAATGTCTGGGAAGAATCAAATCGAAAATATTCACCTTTGCTATAAATCAAAACATAACCTGATTTGCCAAATACGGCTTTAAAACCAAGACCTTTATATCCTGTCTTTTCATAATCTTTTGCTTTTGTTCCACAACCAACAGCACACAAGGCGTCAAGATCTTTTTCATTAAAGGGTAAACCATTATGAGTAATAATCAAATACTTGTCAATAACAGATATTACAACTTTTCGTGGTACAGATAAATTTCTAATTGATGCATCATCTGCATTTTGTAGTAACTCGTATATGAAACGTACGGAATCTGTATAGAGATCGTTTGACAACGATTTTAGCGATTCAGCTTGATTTAATGCGTGTTCGGGAAATGCATAATTTGTATTGCGATTAAATAAATATTGTACTCGATTTTTCAAACTCATCGAAGAATGCTTAATCAAACTTTAAATCGGATGAGCGTAAACATTCTTCGACACTTGCAGTAAAAAGAACTATGTAACCCCCGATCTCTGATAAACAATCTTGTGAATTACTATAACCTGTTCTTAAGAGCCATTACAGATCCCCGACGTTCGATAGTGCTCAAGCGACTTTCAGCAGATGAGTTTTCGATAATTTAAGTAAAAAATATGAAGGATATAATGAGTTTTGGTGGAAACCGCAGCTCTAGAACGCAAATGGTTGCTTGAGATATTTAAAGTTAAAAAATATCCCACCTAAGGGGGGGTGTCCCCCCACCCGTTTTTTTCCAGCAGTTTGTGGAGGACACTTCGAAGTATATGTCTCAACAAAGCTTTCAGTTCCCGGATTTATAGTTTTTGATAAAAAA